TCAAAAACCTATGAAATTGAAGAAACCTTCACTGTTTTCTTCTTCCTTGCTCTGCGCCGTTCCGTGTGTTCTTCTCTCTCAAGCTCCTCGCAGGTAAGCTTCTTTGATTTTCCTAATTAGACCAGTATTGCTTTCTGGGTTCGTTTCTAAACCCTAAAGTTTCTGCCTTTTCTAAGATTTGATAAACCCTTCTTGTTTCTTTTCGATTGTAGAAACTTCTTAGACCAATATTGCTTTCTGGGTTGGTTAAGAAGTATCGATTTTATCGGAATTAGTCAATCGCAGAGTTGCAATCAGGAAGCTTTGATTTTTCTGTATGTTAGTTGGTTTCTTGTCTCCTTTAACCATGAATCTTGAATGCATTGAAATATGATAGTATATGTTTGAAAATCGATGATTTTTCGATAGAATGAGTGAGCTGAGATCAACGCAAACATCAGATTTGTCTTTCTTTTGAAGAAGTAGTCTAGTTGTGAGTCAGGTTTATGGAGGAAACTTTGTAATTGTTCTGTGAAAAGATTGATTTAGGGAATGTTGTTATCTGGTTTGTTTCCGCTTGCTTAAAAGTTGAGATTTTTTTTCGTTTTCTATGATCAGGGTAAGGGTTTCATCATCCGTTTTCGTCAATGCGAAGCCTGTAACATTGAGAAACCGCGCTGTTAATTTGCGCGTATATTATTCCATGGCCCCTGCTGATCAGAACCGCTCTCGCCATCATGACGAAAGCTCTTCAAAACCTAACAAGAAAAAGAAGTCAAGCCACAACTTAGAAAAGAATCTCTTTGTCAATCTTAATTTCTGTTCCAAGTCCAAAGACCTCTCAGCTGCGTTGGCTCTTTACGATGCAGCTATCACTTCTGGTGATGTCCGCCTCGGTCAGCAACACTTCCAAAGCCTTCTTTACCTCTGCTCCGCGTCCATTAGTGATCCATCTCTTCAAACCCTTGCCATCGATCGTGGCTTCCAGATTTTTAACCGTATGGTTAGTTCCGGGATAACTCCTAACGAGTCCTCCGTCACTGCAGTGGCACGATTAGCTGCTGCAAAGGGTGATGGTGATTATGCTTTCAAGCTTGTTAAAGACTTTGTTGTTGTTGGGGGTGTATCGGTCCCTCGACTGAGAACCTATGGTCCAGCTTTGCTCTGTTTCTGTGATAAATTGGAGGCTGAAAAGGCTTACGAGGTGGAAGAGCACATGGATGCTTCAGGTATTGCGTTGGAGGAGGCAGAAATCTCGGCTTTGCTGAAGGTAAGCGTTGCCACGGGTCGAGAAAACAAGGTTTATAGATATTTGCATAAATTAAGAGAATGTGTCGGCTGCCTTAGTGAAGAAACTTCAAAAATTATCGAGGAATGGTTCTGTAGAGAGACAGCTAGCGAGGTTATCGAAAGTGGGATTGGTTCTGATGTTGAGTTGCTTAGAGCAGCTGCTTTGAAGAATGGAGGTGGGTGGCACGGTCTTGGGTGGATTGGTAAAGGAAAATGGATTGTGAAGAAAGGTAATGTTAGCCAAGCCGGAGAATGTTTGAGCTGTGGTGAGCATTTGGCTTGTGTAGATACCAATGAGGTCGAGACTGAGAAATTTGTGGATTCTTTGGTGGCTTTGGCTATGGAGAGGAAGGCGAAGATAAATTCATGTGAGCCAATGGCGGATTTCAGCGAGTTTCAGGTTAGAAAGAAATAAGTATTGATTCATCTTAGCTTGCATCTCATATTGTTTGGAACTTATAACTCTGGGTGATAAAATCTTGCATGTGATAAATGTTCTGGAGAATTGCAAGTCTTTGATTTTCACTTAGTTAATTTTGATAAGAATTTAGAGAAAGGTAATAGTGCTTGGAGTTCGTAGTGCAAACGAGACTTCTTTATAGCTGTATTTGTTTCTGCATTGTTCATATAACTTTGCATAAATTGGGAATTATTAATCGCTCCTAGCAAGAGTTATTCATTCATCAGTTAGGAAAACATTCTCTGTGTTCTGTATAGTTCTGGATATGAATGTTTTAGCTATATAAAAGGCGTTATAAGTGTCGATCTTGAATACTAATTATTTATTTATTTTACATCCAATTGAATCTTTTTTTTTTGTATATTGCCCAGGAGTGGCTTAAAAAGCATGGAGATTACGAAGCTATACTAGATGGAGCAAATATTGGACTCTACCAACAAAATTTTGCAGATGGTGGTTTCAGTCTAACACAGGTCTAATCGATTTTTTCTTCCTCTTTATATTTATCGAATACATTCTCTGCGAAAACTGACACACTGCTAATGGTTCAAAACAACAGCTTGAAGCTGTAGTGAAGGAGCTTTACAATAAAAGTGGTAACAAAAAATGGCCGCTAATTCTCTTGCACAAGAAACGGGTCAATGCGCTCTTAGAAAACCCTATTCACGGGAATCTGGTGGAAGAATGGATTAACAACAATGTCCTATACACAACTCCACCAGGTTCTAATGATGATTGGTAATAGACTGACTCTATAGCTTCTTTTACAAACATATTTGGTTTGGTTACTCAATCTTGGTTTTTTTATTTCAGGTATTGGCTTTATGCTACTGCTAAACTCAAGTGTTTGCTTGTGACTAATGATGAGATGAGAGATCACATTTTCGAACTCTTAAGTAGCAGTTTCTTCCAAAAATGGAAAGAAAGACATCAGGTATAGTTATATAAAATCTTATCCATTCTAATGTTTTCGAGATTTGAAAAACCGATGTTGAATTCTGGTTTTGTGCTTTGGTTTCAGGTTCGGTATACGTTTGTGAAAGGTTGTTTAAAGCTTGAAATGCCACCTCCATTTTCGGTTGTGATTCAGGTTTTATTACAATCTCAACTCAAAT